CAACAAAATGATATGTTCTTACATATTGAGATTCACAATATATTGCGATTTCACTTTCTCAAGTGGGTCAACCCATAGACATGTTGTAAAGATCACATAGATTATATAAAGTGCTATACAAACTTTATTTAGCAATAAATAAATCCTAATTATTAAGGTCATCTACAGTAGCATCTTTAGCCAGTGTTTCATTGAATAGCCATGGATGTGTCATTGTCTCCATCTATCATCTTAACATAAAGGAGAAAAAGAAGAGGAGCAGCATGAACTAAAATATATCTTCTGAGTTCAGAATGACTAAATGCTAGAGAAAATTAGTGCCGAAGATTCTTAAATGCTTTGTAATCAAAATCTTACATTTTCCAGAGTCTGGATATTATTGTTTCCTATAGAGAAGACTTGGAGTTCTTGTAGTGTATCCAGATTCTCAATCTTGGAAATCCTGTTATTGTACAGACTAAGGTCCTGCAATTTAACCAAAGCGTCTAAGCCTTCAATGAGTTCAATATTATTGAAGGACAAATCTGTGGGAACAGAACAAGTTTGGAATGTATGCATCCCAAAAGGAAGCCATTAAACTCCTCCCAGACAACACCTGCAGACTCACACAGCCATTTGTAGGTACTGGGGTGAAGAGGATTCACAGCTCATGAGAGAACAGCGGGTGAGGCCGTGGCTAGGGCTTTGCTTAGCTTTGGCTGGTGCACCAATTGCAGCCCTCCCTGGCGCAAGAGGACAAAACAACAGTCATTCATGCTCTTGTGACCACGGGACTGGGTTGTTGCAACATGCTTTACGTGGGGCTGCCTTTGAAGAATATTCAGAAACTACAGCTGGTCCACAATGCAACAGCCTGCGTACTTGCCAGCTCCCAGCTTTGGGAACATATGACACCAATTCCAGGGGCCCTGGCTTGGTTACTGTTAAGTTTCCAAGTACACTTTAAGGTGCTGGTTTTAACCTGTAAAGATCTTCATGGCTTGGCTCCCGAGTATCTACAGGACTGTCTACTCCCAACTATATTGGCCCAACCTACCAGATTTTGTAGGGAACAGCTGCTGGTGATTCCGCACTTCTGGGAGGTGAGGAGAGCCAAGACCAGATGGCATTGTTTCTCTGCAGCAGGGTTGTTGGTTTGGAATGGCCAGATTATTCTAGACAGCCTTGTCACGCTCTTGCTAACTTAATTTCTTGCACCTCTTTTATTTATTGTCAGTTATGCTGGTATCCTACATACTTGTTTAAATTGTCTTTGTTTTATTCACTATAAGCTCCTGAGATTCTATTGAATAGGGCAGGGTATAAATGCAATAAACAAGCAAATAAAATTATTAATAGCGCTTTTATCCTGATCATCAACTCTTTCTCCCATCAGATGTCCCCCTCAGTCTGGTCATCATCTGATCAGAAAGGTAAAACTTTTATGTTATGGGAGTATAGCACTAATTCCAATTCTACATAACAGGGAAAACCAAAATCCTGGTCAGGAGAGAGAAATAAAACATATTATCTGTTCTTGTCAAGATGGGCAGGGCAGGGCAGGGCAGGGCAGGGCAGGGCAGGGCAGGGCAAGCAGCCAAAAAATAGCAAAGATTATGTTTGCTAAAGCATTTGACGCAATTTCAGATGACGTGCAATTGCTAGATGGAATTCTTATTTACATGTAGAAACATTAGCTGTGAAAGCTGCATGCAGTGTGGCACTTCCAGAAATTTGTGGCTCTCATTGCAAGGATCTTACCTAACCAAACCAGATTAACCAGAGAGTCCAGTGCCTCAATCTTTTCAATAATATTGTTGTCTAGCTGCAATTTTGTGAGGTTCACAAACTCCCAAAGATTGTCGATCTTCAGGATATCTGAAACCACAGGAGAAGGATAAGAACCACTTAGTTCAAGATGGAAAAAACATAGCCGTTCTACTAGTGATATCAGCGTAGATACTAACCTAGTTTAAGACAAATCACAGCCCTGAATGCCAAACGCTCACATTTCAATAGTATCTGATCACTCGCCTAAAAGATCTTGCCACATTTTTATTATTACAGCAGCGTCAGCATGCACAACATTCACAAAGAACAACAGGGCAGATTCTAGCCCAAGGAATAATTTATGATCTGACACATGGAAAGCAATGAAGAATGGAGCAAGGAGACAAAGGTAGATGGGGAAGAAGATACATTTATCTTGCATACTTGGGCTTTGCTACAGATGGGTCCTCAAAGGCTTCTGTGCTACAAGCTTCAAGGGAAGAGAGGATCTGAAGGAAGAAGGAGTGGCAGCATCACATAGGTGTTAAGGGAAGCATATGAGGCAGGAAGTGAGAAAGGGAAGTGTGCAAGGACAGTGAATTGGTGGATAGCTGCAAATGGTGGAGCTAGAGATGCAAAGACCGTGCGTGGATGTGCTTGAGGGTTTTGAGGAAACTTCCCCAGTCTGACACTCTCCAGATGTTCTTCGACTGCAACTTCCAGAACTCCTAGCCAACCAACCTTGGAGGGCATCTCAACACATCTGGAGGCCAACAGATTAGAGAAGGGTGGAATAAAAAGATAAGGGGAAAAGATCTCACTCACAGACTGATTATGTGCCATCAAGCCAGTGTCAACTCTTAGCAATCACATGGATGGAATTTCTCCAGGAGGATCTGTCCCCAACCTGGTCTTTCAGGCCTTCCAATACCAACCAAACAGCATTCTAAACACTCTGACGTAGCTTAAGATGGAGTTAGCAAAATAACTCCAGATTATGCCCAAACAGTAGAACACTTCCATACAACAGCTTCTCTCAGCCCTTTTCAAAAACCCCCTTAAAAAAGCAAGTGGAACCACTAGCTGTTCATGTGGCAACTTTCAGACCAGCAAGGCTTTGCAATGAAAAGCCGGCAGGCCCTTCTGGAAACCGCTCTATTTCACGCTCCGGTCCTTACTTCTAAAATCAAGTTGCAGGGCTTTGACGTCTTTGAAATTGATGCCTTCCTTCTTGGCCAGGTGGCCTGCATCTTCTTGAGGCCCCTGCTCCTCCACTGCTTTCTGCAGCATCTCCTCATTAATCACGTTGGGCTCGATGCTGTCGTAGAAACGGCTCATGTTTGGTAGGGAAAGCCAGGCCAAAGTTAGACAAACCAACCAGATTCCGTTGCTGGCCCTGAAATGCAAGGACATATGGTACCCAACGTTGTGATCTGCCCCAGAGGCGAAGAGTTTCTGGCACCCACCGACCACTGGATCTTGCCACGTCTCAGGGATGCCTCGGTATGCCCATGTAACGTTTCTGTTCTCCAGCTGCACTGCCTGCCAGTCTTCTTCCAGGTACGATTCAAGGTGCTAGTTGCTACCTATAAAGCCCAATATGGCACGGGGCCTGGTTACTTGAGGGACCACCTGTCACCTCTAGTATCTGCCCAGCCAATCTGATCTGGCAGGGTTGGCACACTCTGGGTTCCTTCAATTAAACAATGCCATTGATCGGGACCTGGAAGCGTGCCTTCTCTGTCCCAAGCCTGCCCTCTGGAATGAGGTTCCCCCCAAAATTCAAACGGCTCCCACCCTACTGGTGTTTCGAAGAGCCCTGAAGACCTGGCTCTTCGCCCAGGCCCTTGGCAAAGGGGCTTGAAGCCCCCTTTTCTTCTCTTTCTTTCCTTTTTCATCTGGGTTTGTCATCTCTGCCCTCTTTGTTCTTTTTCGTTTTGGGCTGTTTTCTTCTTTTAATGTTTTTAACTGCTGGTAGACCACCCAGAGGTTCTGGAAGTCGGGCGGCATATAAATGTAATAAATAAATAAATAGATCCCAGGGATCGCTTTTGGGGGGGTAAATCCACAGAGATCCCTCCTATCAGGGCTGGGATCTTCCGCAACTTCTTCCCTTGCGGAGACCAGCCAGAAGGAAGATGCCGCCTCTCAGCTTCAGGAGTTGGGGCACCAGCCTGCCCCCCGCCTTTCTATTTGGGAATGATGGGAGTTGTAGTCCAAGCCTCGCTTCCTGCCCAGCAGCGGCTCTTTTACCCGCTGGACGCCCGTTCCCGACAGCTCTTGGCTGGCCCCCGGTGGAAACGAGCCACTGGGGCTGGGCCGGGGCGCGCAACTCGGGGTCCTCCCGTTAAGACTACGCCTCCCATAATTCCTTGCCGCTGGCCAAGCTGGCTAGGGCTGATGGGAGGAAAAGTCCAAACTACTGGTCGCTTAGGCGAGCTGAATGGCGCCCGACACCCGGCGAGCAAAGGCCCCCAGCGGCCTCCCCCGATGCAGAGGGAAGCCTCCCTCGGCTTATCCCGAGCCAGAATCCGCACCTCGCGGCTCCGGGCCCGGGCATCCCACCCCGGGGACCCGCCGACCTCACACCTGCCGGAGGAAGACCGCGTTGCTGCAGGAGCCGCGTCTGTTGCTAGGGTAGGCCACGTGACCGCCGCTCGAGCCCGCCCGGCTTTCTTCTCGCGTCGGAGTTGTGGGCAAGCGAGCTCGATTCGCGTTCGCTTTGGGGGACGTCCGTCAGAGCTGGTGGCTCAATGGGAAGCCGCATAAACAGCCGTTCCCTTTCGGGATTGGCTGTAGGAGCCACACGGCCTGCGAATCATCTGCGAATGCTACCCAATAGTCTGCGGGCTTCTAATCTAGCCTTCTCCAATCGTGAGGCGGGGAACGCGGAATCCTCTCTGTCCCCGCCTCGTCGTCGTCTCTCAGACGCCGTCCGCTTTCAAGTCTGGTCGCCTGGCCTGACAGTGATGGGCGTCCGCTTTCTCCAATGAAAAGCGCCCTCTGGGAACGCCGCCCAGTCGAAAGCGAGCCAGGGCCCTCCTCGGCCGCGAGCGCCGCCGCGCTTGGCTGCCACCGCTGTCGCTCAGGCCGGGGAGGCGGGGCGAAGGCGCGGAGAGGGGACGCGAGGCGGAGCGGGCCGGGAGGCCGGTCGCGTTTGTTGTCATCTCAAGATGGAGTTTCTGCTGGGGAACCCCTTCGCCACCCCGGTGGGGCAGAGCC